GGCCCCCACCCAGCCGCTCCTCTGGGGTTGGCTGCCGGGCCACTCAGCCGCGCTCTGATTGGCAAACTGGCTGCACGCCCCTGGTAAATAGAGCTCCGGCCGGAAGGGTGGGCGGGCACGAACGCCCTCTCACTCCCGATTGGTGCGCAAAGATGTCACTCGAGCTTCCTTATTGGTCGAGACTTGCCCCAACAGGTCGCAACCGCTGTCGATTGGCCTCTGTCTTCCGGACCTCGCACCTGTCTGCTCCGGATTGGGCGGTGGCCGCAGCCTTCAGCAATTGGCGAGTTCGCGGCCCAGGCCCGCGCGCTCTCAATCCGATTAGTTCCAAGGCCTGAGAGGCGGGGCCTAGGAAACCCGGACCTGGGTCTGGGCCGCCCGGGGGTTCTTCCCAGGCGCCGACGTCGCTTTCACGCCTCACTCGCTCAGCTTCGCACACGTCAGTCCGCTTCCCAGTCTCAGTCAAGCTGGGGATACCGTGAGCGCTGCGGCGGAGCGCACGTTTCTTCCGCTCCGGGTGTGAAGGACGCAAGGCTTTGACGTTCCGAGCCCTGAGCCCCACCCCGTGCGCTTTTACGTCGCCTTTCACCGGTTCAACACCCTTTCCTCGATCTGCGCATGCGCCCGCCTAAGGTCTTCGTTAGTTTCCACGGCAACGGCTCCCTCGTCGACGCTGCCACCCGCGGCTTTTTGAGTTTGGCTAGTCTTCAGGTCTACGGTGGTGTTTGGTCCAAAGGCGATCTCGAAAATCCCTAAACTCTTACCCCCAAGGCCCCGAGTGTCTGTTTCAAAGAATGATAATGTCATAACTATTGTCATCGTGCGTCGTGGACCAAAGGGAACATAGACAGGAGCACCGACTGGAGTCAGCCTACCGCGTTCGCATCTCAGACCCAACCTCTCTAGCGATTTCCTCCTGGGCAAGTTGTTCACGTCAGTAGTCCTCAGATTCCCCATCGTAAAGTGAGAAAATAATAGCCATCCCATAGTTTTGGTGTGGACTAAAGGAATATTCACAAAGTGCTTATAGTTTCGTTCCTCTTCAGTGCTCCAAAAACTTTCCATTCCACCAACCCAGACCTCTTCCGTCAAATCTTATTCCTTGCAAATTTAGGTCTCAGACCCTCCTCCATCCACTAACCCTTTCTCCCAGACTCCTCCCCTGAACCTCTCTGGCTGTGTGTACCCTTCCTGCCCACAGCTCTGTAAATTTTCTTCATCCCCAGGACATTTCGCGTGTTCATTCGTTTGCTGACTCCCTTCTCCACCCCTGGGCTTGTTTTGGTGGGAAAATATGGAAATGAACAGGCGCTGGCTTCTGTCCTCAAGGAGCTGGTACTGGGAGACAGACAGGGAAGCAAAGGCACACATTGCAGTGGAACCGAGGAGAAGGGGAACTGCGTGGTGACATCACAGAAATCTTCCTAATGGCATTGTGAGTAGGTAGGGGTGGGGGCACAGATGAGGGTCGAACTGCAGGTTGTGGGATTGGCATGTGCAAATGCTAGAAAGTGTGAGAGCACATGTGTTTGGAGAACAAGTCACTTTTTTGCGGTAGTGTTAATTGGGAAACAGGGGCGGGAAGGAACCTCAGATGCCTCATCTGTAAGGCAGGTGAGTTTTTCACTGTATCTGGTGTTTCCCTGATTTCAGCCATTTGTGAAATTCCTTCATCAGTCTGCCATCTATTTGATATTTCCTTTAAATCAACTCACTTTTAAAAAATCCTCAAAAGGGAAAAGCAGTAATGTCTTACTCTTAAACATACTCTTTGTAGTTTTATAATATGTATTCAAACTATACTACTGCTAAAAAATGGGGCAAGCCCAGTAGCCTGGTGGTTAAGGGAGCCAGATTTCAGGGTGGCAGGTGGCATGGTGGTCAAGGCACCAGACTTCCATGAGGCCAACCATGGTTCAAGTTCCAGACCTGGCGGCTTGCTTTCTCACTTTCCCTCTTTCTTGATCTGTCTCTTTCTGGTCAAATGAAAAACTAATGATAATGGATTGAATTAAATAAATAATTCTTTAAAAAAAATTTTAAAAAGGGAAAGAAAAGGAGCCAGGTTTCACATGACCAACTATGATTCGAATCCCAGCCCCAACACCTTGAAAAACACACAGAATGTATGTGTGTGTGTGTGTGTGTGTGTGTGTGTGTGTGTAATTTCGGCAGAAGGCACATGTGCTCACTGAAGAGAAAAAAAGAGAGAGGGAAAGTGAGAAAACACCTCCCCTCTGCCCCAGTGAGAGAATGGTCATACCACAATTCCTTCTCCTCTATTTCTCACTCTTTTTGAGATTTTGGGCACTTTCTTTACTGTTGTACTACCATCTGGCCTCTTATTTTGAACTACTTTTTTTCCTTTAGTTTGCTGTTAGGGCATGTGCACTTGCTGGTGAGAGACAGAGAGGGAGAAGGAGAGGGAGAGAGAGAGAGAAAGAAAAAGCACCCTTCTTCCCCCACCCCCCCACGGGGGACCACACTACAATCTCTTCTCCATTCTTCTCTTGGGATTTTGGACACACACACACACACACACACACATGCCCAGTGTGTTTCTTAGGTCACTAAGTCCAAGTCTCAAACCACATAGTCAGTCGTGTGAGCCAGCCATCTTAGTGACCACCATTCCACCTGTCTGGCCCTGAGTTACTTGTTTTTTTTTTTCCCTAGGTTTTTTGTTTTTTTTTTTTTTTTTTTTAAGAATTATTTAATTAATTATTATTATTAAATTTGCTATAGGGCACATGTACTCACCAAAGAGAGACAGATGGGGGAGTGGGGTAAGAAAGCAAGCTGCCAGGTCCAAAACTTGAATTGTGGTCGGCCGTGGGAGTCCAGTGCCTTAACCACCATACAACCTGTTGGCCCCCATGAGCTACATTTTTTTTTTCTCTTTTTTTGGAGAGGTTTTTGCTATAGGGCGCATGCACTTGCCAGAAAGACAGAGAGACAGAGAGACAGAAAGCGAGAAATCACCCCCCGGGAGGATGACCACACCGCAATCCCTTCTCCTCCATTCTCCTCTCGGGATCTTGGGCACGCATGCACATGCACCCGGCGTGAGTTTAAGCCACCAGGTCCTGGACTCGAACTGCAGTCTACTACATGGGAGTCCAGTGACATAGCCATTATGCTGCTGGTCCCCCCATGAGCTACTTTGAAAAGATCAATAAGTTCTTTATAACTTTTATTTTGCATTTGTTCTTTCTCACTTAGCACAACTTTCTTTATTGCCCATTGTATTAGTCTCAGGTTGACTAATGTACAGATAAAACAAAATGCCATAGGCTAGATGGCTTAAATCACAACATTTTCTTTTGTCATAGTTCGGAGACTAGAAATCTGAGACCTGGGTGTCAGCATAGCTGGTTTCTGGAGAGGGCTCTTCTGGCTTGATGCCACCTTCTGGCTATGTCCTCATCTGGCCCCCTAGGTACAGGGAGAGGGAGCAGCTCCCCAGTGTCTTTTCTGGTAAGGACGTTAATCCCATCAGACCAAGGCCTCACCCTTAAGAACTCATTTACCTTTAATTACTTAGAGGTCCATGTCCAAACACAGCCACGCTGGGAGATGGAGCAGAGAGGCACAAAACCTTCACTTCATAACCCCTGTGTTTGGGGAAAGGCGTGTGCTTGAGGTGGCTGTGGGGCCGAACCTTGCACCCCAGCGGTTTTAGATGTCCCTCCTCCTCTGAGCAGTATGTTGTGGCGGAAGGAGCAGGAGTTTATCTCAGGGAACTTATCCCAAGGGGAGCTTCTTGCTCCCCTGGGGGGAAAATAGCATAGGCTTCTTGGTGGAATGCTTCAGTGACTCCCCTCTCCTCTCAGTTCCTGATCCTGGAGCTCATCTGGATTTTGGAGATTTTCTTAATTTTTTTTTTTTTTTTCTAGAGGGTGTGCATACTTGCCACAGAGAGACAGAAAGGGAGAGGAGGAAGCACTTCCCCCCACACAGGGAATGATCATGCTGCTACCCCTTCTCCTCCATCACTCCCTCCTTTTAAGATTTTGGGTACACATATGCACACTTGTGGCCCCAACATGTTTCTCAAGCCTCTGAATCTGGAACTCAAACTGTATGGTCAGCCATTTGGAATCCAGGTACCCCTCTCACCAGGCCATGGAGGCAGCCTGACTTTTAACATTATAGTCTGCAAATCAGAAATGGAAAAATGAGACCCACAGTCTCTACTCAACCCGTGTGAACTTTTTGGCCTGCCTAATGATTTAAGACTTTATATTAGTGGCCAGCATTGTATTTCTCTACAATTCTTTCAACATTACATTTGAAAAGTTTAAAATAAAATGTTGAAAAGAAATAGGTAGACAACAGGAGATACCTCTCCACCCTTACTAGAATGACTAAAATTGAAAAACTGACAGGATCAACTGCTAGCAAAGATGCGGAAAACCGAAACTCTCATTCATCGTTGGTGGAAATGTATGGTACAGCCACTTTGGAAGACGGTTTAGTGGCTTCTCCCAAAACAAAACAAAGTGATCCAGCAATCATATTCCTGTGTATCAACATAACTGGTTTGAAAATTTACTTCTACACAAAAACACGTGCTTGTGAACTTTTTTCAGTTTTATAATCTCTCAAATTGGAAGCAACCAAAATATATTTTAATGGGTGAATGAACAAACATTGTATGATATATCCATACGATGAAATATTGAGCGGGACCAGCAGGTGGCATGGTGGTTAAGGCGCTGGATACTCCCACATGACTGACCATGGTTTGAGTCCTGGACCTGGTGACTTGCTTTCTCACTTTCCATCCCTCTCTTTCTCTCTCTGTCTCCCTCTGGTCAAATTAAAATAAATGAATGAATAAATAAAATTAAATAAATAATTCTTTTAAAAAAAGAAATATTACTGAGCAATCAAAGGCCATCACCTACTATGCCATAAAAAGACAATTTTTTAAAGAATTATCATTATTTTTTAATTTATTCATTTCTTTTTATTTATTTATTTATTTTAAAATTTTGACCAGAGAGGGACAGAGCAAGAGAGAAGGAGAGAGTGGGAAAGTGAGAGAGCAAGCCTCCAGGTCCAAGACTTGAACCGTGGTCGGCCATGTGGGAGTCCAGTGTCCTTAACCACCACGCCACCTGCCGGCCCCAAAAGACAAATTTTAAATGCGTATTGTTAAGTGGAAGAAGGCAGTCTGGATGATTCCAATTGCAGAACATTCTGGAAAAGTGAAAATTATGCAGAAGGTTACAGATTACAGTTGGCCAGGGTCATGGGGATTAGGATTGAATAGGTAAAGCACTGGAGATTGTTTCAAGGTAGTGACACTATTCTGTATGATACTGTAATGGTGAATAGAAGACATGAAACATTTGTCAATAAGGACATTTTATGTAAATTTAAAAAAATCATCTAGGAGCAGGCTGGCCCATGACCTGGTAATTCAGAGAAATGAGTCCCACATGGCCAAGCATGTAGTTCCCATCTCGCCCTGGCAGCTCAAAACATGCCAGGCACATGTGCATGTGAGCCCAAAATCCCGAGAAGAGAATGGAAAATACACAGTGGCATGGCCATGCTCCACTGGGGAATGCTTGCTTTCTCTCTCTCTGTCTCTTTCTGACTACTGTACGTACCCTCCCGCAAGATAAAACAAAGGTCAGAGGATCCCAGGAGAGATCCCAGAATGTGATCAAAGAGTCTAGTGGTCTTGCAAATGTAGGAAGCAATCTCACTGAAGAGGGTGGGAAATAAGATGCTGACCTGGAGATGAGTGGAGTCTGTAAGACTAATGGCAAAAGGAAATGCATGCACTTAGCACTGGACTCGAGTTGATAAGTTCGTTTCCCATAAGAGTATGGACTGACAATGCTGAAACCACTACACATGTACCCTGGAACCAAACAATTTAGCAAATGGAAGCTGGGTGGTGGAAATTGGATTTCTCCCTGTTGGAATGAGAAGTACAGATAAGTTAGGTAAGGAAGCTAGAATGATCCACATGGTAATGGATTGGAGTGGCAGACTTCAGTGTGAACTCATAGACAGCTTAATAAAGACCCAATTGCTTACATACAGAAATAAGCATAGATGCATACATACCCAGGCTGGTATACACGTATCTTCATGCTCTATCAGCTTAGAGGGTTTAGAGGCAATTGCCAACTCCCCTCCCACACAGCGCAACAAGCAACCTAGTGTAGCGCCAGATCTCGCTTTTAGTATCATCCTCCCATAAAACAAACCAGGGCTCCTTAGAGAAAGGGCTGCTTCTAGGACTGGGGCAGGAAATATACAAGATGATTCTAGAACACCACGTAGTGTTAGAAGGTAGGAAAGTGCTAGAAAACAAACACAATGATGGGTTATGTCAAAGAGCTAACTGAAAGCGTTCTCAATGGATATCTTTCTATCTCTAGAAAGAGATTCTATTGATTCTGTTTCTTTGGAGAATCCTGACTAATACACAATTGAAGCTGCACGTGGACTATATAGGAACTGTCCTGTCTTCACAAATTCTGTAAGCCTGAAACTATTTTAAAATGAAATAAATATTTTGATCTATGTGAAGATTACCTGGGTAAGATTACCTGCACATGTAAAGATGTATTGAGCTGTATGCTTTCTTAAAAAAAAAAACATTTATTTTGGGGGCTGGCAGGTGGCTTGGTGGTTGAGGTGCTGGACTACCACATGGCTGATCAAAGTTCAAGTCCCAGACCTGGTGGCTTGCTTTCTCACTTTCTCTTCCTCTCTCTCCTGTCTCTCTAAGGTCAAATTAAAAGTAATAAAAATAATAAATAAATAAATAAATAAAGTAAATCAAATAATTATTTTGAAAAAGTTTATCTTGGGGCCAGCAGTTGCCATGGAGGTTAAGGTACTAGATCCCACATGGCTGACTGCATAGTTCATATCCCAGACCCGGTAGCTTGAAAATCATGCTCTGAACATGTGAGTGCATGTCCAAACTCCTGAGACTGGAGAAGAGATTGTGGTGTGGCCATCAATGATTTCTCACTTTCCCTCTCTCTCTGGCAAGTGCATGTATCTTATGACAAAAACTGAAAAAAAATTATTTCTCCCACGAATAAGAGAGACAGCACCCCACATAAGGTCTCAACTTCATGGTCCACCCACAGCTTCAGCACTGGCTCATGCCACACACATGCCCAGTGGGCCCAGGGAGGTCTCTAGATACAAATCCCAGAAACCTTCCCGTGCATGTCAGTCTCAGAGCGCCTGTCGTGTTTTATAGCCATGCCACTCTCTGGGCCCAGCTGTATGTTTTTTTTTTTTTTATATATATATATATACCTTGCTGAATGTGCATTATACTCAAAATATTTAAAGTGAATTGAATATAAAAACCTGAACTTGCAGCTTTTCTTGGACAGTCAGAATGTCTCCTAGCTTGGGCTTGCTCTGACTGACAGCAGTCGGTGGGGCTGGGCAGCAGACGGTCCCCCAGTGGGGGAAGGAGCTCTCGGCTCCCCACAGCCTCAACCTGCCTGCTGTTCCTTCGCTGGCCCTGAGCCCTGCTCCAGCTGCTGTCTATTGAAACCTTCTGGACCAAGAGTCCTTCTAGGGTGGGAGAGTGAGTGTGAGATTTGAGGGAGCCGTGGGCACTTCCGGTGCCAGCAGACATACTGCAGCCAATTAAGACTATCTTAGCAGTCCCAGTGGCACGGCCTGCCAGGCTCAGAGCTAGGGGGGAGAGGGCGAGAGGCTGTCTCTGGATGGGGTTCTGGTTTCCCCAGGCTCATCACTGCCCCTCAGCCCCTGCAGAAGGGACAGGCATCTTCTCAGGCAGCAATACCAACTGTGCGAGCTGCGAGGGTGGTGGGTGGGAGGCTGGGTCATGGCTGCAAGAGAAGCCACTGGGGTTGGGGCCACTCGTCCTCATCCCAAACACTGGCAGGAGAACACCTAATTAAGGATTAAGGATTAATTGGGATCAGTCAGGCTAGTGATGCTGCGGTTGCTGCAGCCAGCCCTGGCACCTCGGCCTCCAGACTCCAGGCTCCAGGCTCCAGGCAGGGCACAACATCCATTGCTGTGTGCTGCTCTCTTGCAGGGCTATCTTGTTGGTAAGAGCGATGTGAAGACAGGGGGTTTAGAGGGCTACCCTTCTTGACCAGGAAGGGCAGGGCTTATCCTTCCTCCCAGCAGGAAGGAGGAGGCTGAGACCATCCTGGGTCCACTCTAACCCTCAGTCATCCTCCCTGGTTGGCACTGCGGTTTTAGAGTCTCTGGGCCTGAGTGCAAGTCCCACCTCCCTTCGTCCTAATTCCCACGTGGGGCCCCTCACAGAGTGTCAGCGTTTACTGCTGTGCCTCCAGCAGTTGGCACACCCTTGTCCTCCTGGAGCCTGCTGGTAGCAGGCAAAGGGGTGGGATTAACCTGGGGCCAAATACTGGGGCCTTCAGGATAACAAGTGAGAGGCAAAAGCCATCTCCTCAGGCTGAAAGATACTTTATTGTCAAAGCAACAGAGACAGGGCTGGGAGGCTGAAGTGGAGGAGCGGGGGCAGGGGTGAAGGCAGGCAAGGGCACTGTGCAGGGGGCAGAGGAGAGCGATGTGGAGAAGGGGAGGCTGTCCCGGCTGGAGGCGATACACCCTGGTGGCAAAGGCTGTGGTCCTTGATCCTGTCTGCTGCCTCCAGCTCCTGTACAGGCTCAGCGAGACATCATTCGCACAAACTCTGCCAGGACAAAGCCAAGGCTTGGAATCTGTTCTTTTGACCCCACTAGAAATAAGGCCAATCTGCTGGCCTGGGGTGGGGTGGGACAGTGGTTGAAGGGAGGACCTCAGGGCCAGGAAGAAGGGGCCTTGTCTTCTGAATAGAACAAAAACAAAAACAGAACAACCCAAGAAAACCATGTAATGCAAACCGTTTTCTTCTTTGCTTTGGCTGCTAGGAAGCTCAGAAGCAAATTTGGAGCCTACTTTAGGGAACGCATTTCTCCGTACAAATTTTCCTTGGCTTCCTGTCATTATTGAATCTTTGTCTTCCTTTATAAGAATGCAGTGTTGAAAGAGCTAGGCTCTGGATCAGGCTCCCCAGGTTCGATTCTTGATTCCATCCACTTCTTTTTGTTAAGCACCCAAGCTTTCCTGACACCTGGCTTTTTTCTCCTGCTTGTAGGGATAATGATAGTCCCTTTATCCTGGGTTCTTGGTGATGGCTAACAGGGAAAGGACTCCGATGTGCTTAGCACAGGGCCTAGCACACAGTGGTGAGGCTCCCTCTGCCATTTTTTTATCGGTTAAGAACCCTCCAGGGTGTGTTGCTAAGTACGGCAGGCTGTACCTTCGAAGTCGACCAGGCCATCTCCGTTGAGGTCGATGTCCTGGAGAATCTCATCCACCTCCCGCTGACTGAGGCGCTCTCCCAGAAGGACCTTGAGGGCTGCTCGGAGCTCAGCCACGCTGATGCAGCCGTCCCCGTTGGTATCAAACTGTGGTGGCCGTGGCGTTGGGTCACAGACTGAGTCATTCATTCACTCGGCCCCTCACTCATGACAGACATGCAGCCCACCCGCCCTCAACCCTGTGCCCGCACCTCCCGGAAGGCATCTCGCAGCTCCCTGACCCCGATCATGTCTGCCGTCTCTGCTAGCAGCTTGGGGCCCATCAGCTCCACAAAGTCTTCAAAGTCCACCTTCCCGCCACCTGGGGGTTGCATCCGTTAGAGACTGGGGCACCAGAGCCTCTGCCCAGCCCCCGGCCCTTCTCTGCCTGCCCCTTTCTCTTGCCTCACTATAAGGGCCTTTCCCTCCCTCTGCCTTGCAGGCGGAGCCATCCGTGTTCCCTGATGGGAATCTCCCTCCAAACAAGGCAGGCACCAATTTGGCCAAAAGCTAAAGGAAAACCACTCTTTTAAAACTTCTTGGAGCTTTCCTTAATTTTCTGAAGAGTTTGGTTGGGTTCGAGTCTCGGCTCCAATGAACTTGCTGTGTGAACTTAAGTCACTGAACTGTTCAGAAAGCTCAAGTCCCTCATCTGCGGCGTGGGGGAGCGGAAGGTCCTTGCCCTGCCTACCTCAGAGAGGGTGGGGAGATTTTCTGGAGCAGAGATCTTGCCTGACAATGACCAAGGTCCTGGGCTTTGGGGGCGACCTTTGCAGTTGCCTTTGTGCCTAGGCTGCCCAGCTTTCCCTGGTTGTGGCCGAGGCACCTGGAGAACTGGGGCGGGGCGGGAC